TGATAATTTAAGGAATAAGTGTTTTAAAAATCAAAAAATTTCGTGTTAAATGCATTCCTGCAACACTTTTGAAAGATCGATTTTTCGAAAACAAAAGTTGACTCGTCTATCGAATTACTTTGAAGCGAGTTATGGTTAAACTTCAATTGCTAATTGATAATTTAAGGAATAAGTGTTTTAAAAATCAAAAAATTTCGTGTTAAATGCATTCGTGCAACACTTTTGAAAGATCGATTTTTCGTTTTTCGAAAACAAAAATTGACTCGTCTATTGAGTTGCTTTGAACGAAGCGAATTAAACTTCAATTGCTAATTGGTAATTTAAGGAATAAGTGTTTTAAGAATCGAAAAATTTCGTGTTAAATGCATTCCTGCAACACTTTTGAAAAATCGATTTTTCGAAAACAAAAATTGAGTCGTCTATCGAGTTTTGAAGCGAGTTATGGTTAAACTTCAATTGCTAATTAATAATTTAAGGAATAAATGTTTTAACCCTTTGCACTCCAGGCCTGTTTCGCTCGGTTGAACTCCAGACTCCAGACTCAGACCCGCGAGTTCAGTGACATTATAAAATTAACGTAAGATAATTACTCATAAGATAAGATTCCACCTCATAAGATTTTACGTAAAGAAGAACCCATTTATGAAGCGATATTCTAAAAAAAATCAAACGTAAATAAATATTGTCGCCGTTCAAATTGCCGCAACAATCCCACTGATGCCGGAGATTGACCGCTGGAATTACGACATTAACTCAAATGGTGACCGAGAATCACCGTTGGAGAGCAAAGGGTTAAGAATCGAAAAATTTCCTACCAATTTTTGTTCTCGTTTCAGTGTTTAGAAATCGGCCCTCAAAATACGTCTGACGAGTATATAATATTAACACGGTGTACATATAGCGGGTGGAAGAGAAAAAATGAGCGAGTATGAGCGGGGTTTGAAACGAGTGATAAAGAGAGGGAGGTAAAGAAGGGTGACCGTAGGTAGGAAAATGGTGGAGCGGCAAAAGGGACGAGGAAAGGTGAAAGAAAGAGCTACACAATGGCATTGTGAATTCGTAACCACGCTTTCCGTCCTCCCTTTCTTCGGCCCGAGCCGTCTTCTATGCGCGTCTTCTCCCCGAGCTTGTGTGCACGCGAGCCGGGTAGAAAACCCCTCGACGCGTGTCGCGTTCACACGTATTTACCGTTTTTTAATCCTTGCTGGCGAAGGCCAGCCTCCCTCTTACTCGCTCCTCCTTCCCTCCCTGCCCTCGAGCATCGAAAATTTCGAATAGCCACTTCTGTCTCGCGAGAGAAAGCTGGTTGTAGGTTGTTGAAGTTCTCGTCTCGTTTCGAAAATCCGCGTTTCACGGGTTTTGGACGGGTTCGTGAAAAATCGTTTCAATTCAATTCGTTTGTTGAAGGATTTATTTCTTCTTTCCTCGTGGTTCGATTCTTATATAGATAGGGAGAAGTTTGGAAGGGATTTTGGGATTTTTAGATTAATTTGTAATTTGAAAATAATTGGGCAATATTGAGCTATAATATCGAATCACGTTTGTACTTTACTTTTACTCTATTATTTAAAACGGATAATAGAAATCAATTTACAGGAGATTAAATCTGAAAAGGGTTATTAATCATTAGAGAAAAATTCTTAACGATGTGATTCAAGTTAGGGATTGGTTTAGCAATAACGATAAAAAGAAGAATGATGCGTTAAGCGCTATTGGAACAATTCTAAAATGGATCTTCAACGTCACATACATCATAAGAGAGCCCTCGTTTTTGCAGGTTTCTCGAAAGTCTGTTGAAAAGAGAGGAAAGAGAAGAAAAGAAAAAAAAAAAGAAAAAAAATCAGGAAGGATTTTAGTGCACGCGAACATGTCTAACGTGTTCACTTGTTGCGCGTCAATAACGTTTAATGATACCTAAGTCATCGTTTCCAAAGCATTAAGTGTAACACAGCCGTAAATAGAACGGCTCGTAAAATGCCATTCGCGCCATTAATTCGCATACATTTACAAATTGCGGCTGGTGAACCGGCGTCCGCGTTAAATCACGCGAGCTTGATAAAGAACGAGCATTGCTCGTGACACGTCCTTTGGAAAAAAAAAAAAAAGTCACGTTCATCGTTCACCTTCTCAAAACTTTGATCATAATAACTTCTTTCTAAAACAAACGACGATTTATATTTTAAAGTAAGGATTATTTGGACATAATGTAATCCAAAAGAGTTATTTAAAGAAATATTTCACAATTTTCAGCATTGCTTGTGATAAGTCTTTTGGAAAAAAAAAAAAAAGTCACGTTCATCGTTCACCTTCTCAAAACTTTGATCATAATAATTTCTTTTTAAAATAAACGACAAATTATATTTTAAAGTAAGGATTATTTGGACAAAATATAATCCAAAAGAAATATTTAAAGAGATATTTCACAATTTTCAGCATTGCTTGTGATAACCTTTTGGAAAAAAAAAAGTCACGTTCATCGTTCACTTTCTCGAAACGCACGAAATTTTGATCATAATAATTTCTTTCTAAAACAAACGACGAATTATATTTTAAAGTAAGGATTATTTGGACAAAATATAATTCAAAAGAAATATTTCACAATTTTCAGCATTGTTCGTGATACGTTCTTTAAAAAAAAAAAAGTCACGTTCATCGTTCACCTTCTCAAAACTTTGATCATAATAATTTCTTTCTAAAACAAACGACGATTTATATTTTAAAGTAAAGATTATTTGGACATAATATAATCCAAAAGAGATATTTAAAGAGATATTTCACAATTTTCAGCATTGCTCGTGATACATCCTTTGGAAAAAAAAAAAAATCACGTTCATCGTTCACCCTCGAAACACACGAGAGTTTGATCATAATAACTTCTTTCTAAAACAAACAACGAATTATATTTTAATATAAGGATTATTTGAACAAAATATAATCCAAAAGAGATATTTAAAGCGACAATTTTCACGATTCAGAATATTCGAAGAATATTTCACAACAAATTCTGAATAATATTCTCAAATTTTGGACAAATTCTCGCGTATTCACGTGGGTTAATCGTGTCGGACAAGTGAACTGTTCGATGCTGTACAAATTTCAAGTTCGCGTGAACGTCGCAACGTTCGGTTGTACGGCACGTTGGCCGATTTAATCGGGCCGTGTTAATGTTTCCGAGTAAATCCTGCATCGAGGAAAATCATTGCGCTGATCATTGCGTTCATCAGACGCAGCGCTCAGCATTGCGAAATCGCTTAAATCCCTCTTCCTCCATTGCCAAGCTTTATCTATTTTGATCTCTTCACAGTATTAAGGATTACGCGTCATTCCACCTCTGAAGCGTAATTGCAATTCTAATGCTTCGTGTGAAAAGAATAACGTTATTAAATTGTATCACAATTATAATTATAATTATAATTCTCCTGTAATTTTTCATTTTTTTTTATCTTTTCTATTTTCTTTTTGTTCCTAAAAAAATTGATCAAGATTGAAAAAGAAAAATCGATTTAATCAATTTCAACTCTCTTTGCAGTAATTGAGATTATATTTAGAAATAAATATGTTAAAAATTGATTTTATTTCTTAGAATATAGCTCTATATTTTTTAAATTATTGGCTTAAATTTGATCGACGTAATTATTCTTACTTGAACTTAATCACCGAATCAATTTCTTTTTATATCAATTGTTCTCTTCTTTTGTCATTCATTCATGCTGTTTAAGCATGTGAAAAAATGTGAAATCGAATCTCGAATTAAAGTAGAAAGAGAGGAAAAGAATTGACTCGTTTCGTGGCAGCTGTAAATTGGCAATGACAACTGAGAGAAATTGCAAAACGCGTTTTAATTAACTTCCCTATTTTCTCACGCAGGAAAAAAAAAGCGTTCGAGCACGTGTCCAGATTAATTATCAGCAGTCTGGAGAAATTCGATTCTTTTTATACGCGTAAAATCGATGCACGAACCAAACAATCGCGGTGTAGTGGAGGCAGTTCTAATTTAAACGATGAAAACCAGATCTATTAGTCCAATCGTATTTTTTTTTTTACGTAAAGACCGAATGGTTTTATTAAATCGTAATTTATTTACAAAAGGAATCTGGTATTTTTTATTTAGAATTTCTCACAAGTCTAATTTTAAATTAATTTTCGTTTATTTTATTAAAAAATATAAGAATCAATTTGTCGAATTTTCAGGAAACTGAATTTCTCTATTTTTAATATTATTAAGATTGAGTTATAAAAACTTACTAGATAAAATTACTAGATTTGTATTAAATAATTCTATTGCGAAAAAATCATCAAATTTCATCAAATGGATCGTTCGTATTAAATCGTAATTTATCTACAGAAAGAATCTAAATAATATTTTTTTACTTACAATTTCTCACAAGTCTAATTTTGAATTAATTTTCGTTTATATTAAAAAATATAAGAGTCGAATTTTCAGGGAACTGAATTTCACTATTTTTAGGATTAGATTGGAAAAATCAGATATTAAATAATCCTGTTGCGAAAAAAACTGTCAAATTTCACGAAACGTTATTTATCATTCATTAAAAATATTTACATGTATTATAATCTAGAATAATTTCTAACCAAAAATATCTAAAATCGACTTTAGTGAAATCAAAATTACCGATGCGAGGGATATTGCATTGTATTACAACTACAGAGATCGGATGAGGTTCACAGAACGCTCGTAATAATTAATATACATCTCGCGCGAGGATCAAGGTGAAATCGATAAGGCTCGTGTTGCTACACATGCTTTTGTATCTTATTAAAGAGTAACCGAATCCAATGTGAAAGTACATATATGTATCACGAGGCACTTGTTGGCATACTATTGCAAGTTAAAACATTTAGATTTATACGATGCACCGAATGACCGCAAATTTTTCACCGTAAATTAATCCCTAAATTAATTCCGTCTTCGATCCGTCTCGAATTATTTGAACCTGTCCCGTGCCACCGAATCCTAATCCTTGCTAGCTGCCACGAACAATGTCCGCTCTGTGGTCAACCAGTGGTGGTCTCTGGTGGTCACTTTCTCCAAAATCGTTCCTGGTGGCTACCTCTGACTGTTGCGGATCCCAATGAGGCAGTTCTAGTTCCTTCCGTGGACAGTTTATTCTCTCAGGATCAGTGACAGGTGTATAATTCATTATTCTAGAAGATTCTGTTCGACTTATTTCGATTTATTCCGATGAAATTTAGAATTGGGACGAGTTCTTATAGTCTCGAGAAATTTTCGAAAGTGGATAATTATAGGGGAATGAAAGATTAATAACTGATATTTTTGAAACATTTTGGGAAAGGAACGTTCTTTCTAAAAAAAGACATTTCTATAAAAGATGAAAGTTTTGAAATAATAATCCTGATAATTCTGATATTTTGAGAAGAGATTTTGCTCTTGTAGCTGATAATTCTAGAAAATGAACATTATAGGAACATATCAGAAATCTGATATTTTAAAAATAGTAATTCTTAATACAAGCAGTGCAAAGATCTTGAAAGAAGAATGAGATTAAAAGTTACAAAAATGAAAGAAAGATGTTTAAGAGAAGAATTGTAGTATAAAAAAGGAGTATACAAGAGTATTAAAGAAGCATTTCATTTCTAAAAAAGGAAGGGATCGATAGAAAAAGAAATTCCAATAACGAAAGAAAGCATCGTAGAAAGACGCATAAATAAATAAGATAAGAAGAAAGGAATTACAATAATAAAAGAAAGTGAAAAGTTGCGATAATAAGAGGAATAATGCAAGGAGATAAAATAAATATTCTGCAATGCGAGATATGTAAAAAAAAATACAAGATTCCAAGAATAAAAGGAGGATAGGTTCCGAAAACAGAAACCTAGTAATAAAAAGGCATATAAATACACGAATATATAAAGAAAAGATTTCTAGCAATAAAAGAAGACAAAAAGATGAAAAACATCGTAAAAACGAAATAATAAATTATATAAACATCGTAAAAGATATCCAGATGTCTAGAATAATATAGAATAATATAGAATAATAATAAATAGAAGAAGTTTCCAACTAAAAAATACCACGACCTTTTTTTAAACTAATTTATCTCAGAATTGTAATAATATATTTTTCAAAATTATATGCAATGTATAAAATCTCCTATAAAATGATACGTATATATATATATATATACACACTGTGTAACACTTGTTGGTACACAACAATAGAAAGCTCACCAAGGTCGAAATCAACTTCGTTCCCTTCATTCGAGACGATCGCCACGAATCGAAGAAGCAAAAAGACGAAATGAAATATCGGACGATCTCGTAAAGGAAATAAAATCTCTCGTACAAAATCTTTCGTTCCGCCTTACTCTTCCGTTACTTACACGTTTGTATTCTCTTAGAACGGAGACGACTCGCGTTACACGCTCGTTGCATTTATTTCGGTGATAAAAAGTGTTGCCGGACAGGGGATTTGATATCCTGATGGATACTAGGCTCGTCGAGACGAGAGAACGCGTGTAGAAAAATCTCGTGGCAACTTTAGAAGACGAATCGCGTGATTCTTGTACACGCTGTGAAGCTGTTACACGATGAGGCTTATGAGATTATTTTTGGCGGTTCCTGTTGCGGGAAACGACCTATTTCCGGAAGTCTTCTCGCGTGTGCTCGTGCATATACTTGCTATGAGTACATTTCACGACAAATTCTTTCACGCACGGTATCGCAATTTATTCATCTGTACGAAGCGAATATATATATATATATATATATAGAAAGGAATTACAATAATAAAAGAAAGTGAAAATAATAAGAGGAATAATGCAAGGAGATAAAATAAATATCATATAAATAAATAATATATATATATAAATATTTTTTTTTTTAAATATTCGATAAAATATTTCCTTATAAAACGTTTTAGATTATCTTTACAAGAATTTAATTTTAGAACCTAGATGAGAAACGATGATAAAATTCGCGAATGATGAATGCTCGAAAGTAATAAAAAAAAAAAAAAAAAAATCAAGTTTGTTATCTTATCTGAAAAATATTCGAAATTAAAAATAAGGTCGCAAGATACACGCCATATAGCGTGTTACTATTATAATACGAATTACCGATTCATCATAAGATTCTTGTCGTTCGATTAAAAAAAAAACTTTTAACATTATCATTATCTACTCAACAACTTCGTCTGGGAAACTGGTTATGCAAATTCAATTATTAGAATACATCGGATCGTTGATATTATCCGCGTATTTCGCTGTAGTTTTCGAATCCAAAATCATCTCGATCCCTCGTTTCCATCCCCGTGAGTGTTTTCGACTCGAAAGAAAGAAAGAAAGAAAGAAACACAACCGGTTGCCTTTCCTTTTCATCGAGCCTCAGTATTCAACCGCGGACGCATATCGCCACGATTCTCATGAATATTTATTATACGACTCTTGCAATTTTTGAACGATGAATTTAAGGGGTCACGGCAGAGTTGCTTTCAATTGACGGACGTTAATTCCTATTTTGTGGCGTGGTTTTTTTTTTTTTCCATTGTTTCGATACGAGACGAAACGGAAAGAAAGGAGGATGGAAAATTTGAAGATATTCGTTTTAGGTAGATATACGTCACGCTTTAATATTTGTCGTTATTTCGAGACTTATACTCGAGAAAATATACGCGCGAACGTTTAATGATTCTAGCCAAGGTTTCGTTTGCACGGTTATCTTCGTGAAAAATTGCCTCTATTTTTCGCATTAGAGTCGCGTAATTTACGTAATTCGCGCAATTCGCGAGATAAAATAATAGATAAGGTTATGCGTTTTAAGTTCTCCTTTTCGTTCTTGAATTATGCATCTCTTTGCAATTGATCGATATAACATTTCATTGACACTTTCTTTTCCTAATCCGTAAAAGTACCGATAAGTATTTCCAAATCAATTTGCTACTCGCTATTTTATTCTCTTACAAGGAAATCGATGTTTTTATGGACCATCGTCGATTTATTACCTATTACATTTTCATTCTTATAATGAAAATTATATAAGAACGATAATAGAAAGTATGGAAAATTGCACATAATGATATAACCTTTATGCTGCAACACTTGGCTATAATAGCCCCCTTTGAGTTCCAGTTCATTGTGAGGTTTCGTGTGCGGCTTACAATTAAAAAAATTTCTCGATCATTAAAATAGTAAAAATAATACTTTGTCGATAAAAAAATTGATTTCGTAAAAATCTCAACCATTCTTAACCACATAACCATATTCTCACAATTATTTAACTTTTGCACACCAATATCAGGATATTAAGAAATCTACTTTTAAATTTTCTTTTCTAATTATTTTAAGTTTACTTTTGAAAATTGGAAGAATTCATATAAAAGTAAAGAGATAAAAACCCTTTGCAACCCTTTAGATTTTATCAAGAACTATATATCAAGATACTCGATTATGTAGACAATTTATCAATCAAACTCCATGAAACGAAATATAATATAACTTACCAATTAATAATTCCATAATAAAATACAAAATAACAAACGTGTACCATTTCAATCATTTTCACACGAACTCTCCCTTTCACCCTCGTTTCACATTCATCCCCCCCCCCCCTATCGCCAATTCGCCCTACATTCGCAAAATATGCGAATACGCGCCGATTTACTTAACTCGAGAATGCTTCGATTCAATTTTTGCCCATCGATCCTCGGCCAACGATCCGGCCCGCCCCCCTTCTACTGTATCGTAAACAATCCGAGTTTAAAAAGAGGGGATGGACGAAGGGGATGGATGTTTGCACGTGTTTCCACGGACAACGAAACGATGAAAATCACGAACTCGGCGATCGGTCAACGCTCCATGCTTCATCCCCCGTTTCACCATCCCCCTCTCCCTTCCTCGCGTCATAAATAGAGATTGGCCGGCGTAAATTAAACGAAACGTAAAACGGGTGTTCCGACAGGATACGTTATCGATATCGACGCGGGGGATGAACGTTTCCATTGCAAATCCTTCCTCGTACATATATATATATAAAACAATTCATAAGTATATGGACACTGCGAACGAATTATAAATCACATAAGATAATATTGATCGTGTAATATTCATTCGTTGTTGGAAAAAAAAAAATATATTTAAACGTGGTAGAAAAAAAAAGAAGAAAAGAAAAAGAAAAGTTTATGAAAATTCTTGCAAATCTCGGAATCTTACTTGCACCCTTTATACCAGTTTCTCGCGATGTGCGCGGTTGGGATCCGTGGGGTGCGAATGACAGAAGAGGGATGCTTACCCCCTACCTTACCCGTTCGATGCATTTCGTGAGGGAAGAAAACGGGTGAATCGGTATACCGGTACGCCCCCCATTCAAGTTTTTGGTGCAACCGCTCCTTCGCGGTGGTGCAACTTGCCACCGAAGCGAGAGGCTGGCTCATCCCGTCTCTCTCTCTCTCTCTCTCTCTCCCTCTTTTCTTCCTTTCAACCCCCTCTCCCCTCCCCTTTTCATTCCTTTTCTTCCGGCACATCGGTGCAATTTATGGACTGGTTCAGGAAGGAGGCGAGATAGAGGAGAGGGGGAGGAGGGGGAGGATCCGATAAATCGCTGGTCGTAAAACGCGGAGATCACGGGGGAGAGGAGGGGAGGAGGGGGCAGGTAGGGGAGGGTGTTCAATCCTTTGCCCGTCGAGGGTTCCAGTCTTGGAATCCGTATATATATTTTTCGATGGTGGGGCGGCAATTCGTGAGATTCTACGATATGGATGGAATTCTCGTCAACCTGGATAAGCCTGGTCCAGTGTTTTTCAACATGGAAATGTCGGTGTCGCGGGAAATTTTTCGTAGAAATTTTTTAATCAAACGCGAGAGTAGGAAATTGATCGATGCGACGATTGAAAATAAAAATTTTTGTGAAAATTATAAATTTGATCTCGAGGAAGTCGAGGAAAAGATTTGAAAGATATATTGTCAATAATATTGGAGCAATAATTTTAATGTTTTTTGCGTAATTTCTTTTGAGCGTACGTATAGTATTATTGATAATAAATAAAGTTTGAAAAGTATTTAAAAAATACTATATTTAATTCGTAGAAATTAATCTTTGATTTATTATCAAGTCATCTTTTAGAGATTTTAGGTTGAGAACCGCTGATCTAGGGAATATTTTTCTGGGGGAAGGAATAAAGTGGAAT